CCCCACACTCTGATTAAATGCTCTCAAACTATGCAGATGTTCTATTTCAGTCCTCCTAAATTACACCTCGTTGACAATATGGTTAGTTTTTCAAAGCTTTGTGTCACATTCTTTGCTGTCCTTTCTTGTAGAATAGCCTCATTTTTTGTCATTTTTATTACAGTCTAATATAAATATGCTTTTAATGTTAACATGTTAGACATATAACTGAATTTACAAATTATCAACACTGTTGCCAAAAAGCTGAACATTGTGACATTTGCAATGATGTGTAATTTTTGTTTTTATATTCTTATCATTTAATATAACGAAGAAGGTAACGAGTCACTCCAGAATACTCTGCAGTAGTTTGGTACTGTGTTGGGAAAGAGTTTTAGCTTGCAAATAAAAATGAAATGTTAAAATGTTTGAAAATGAGGTAAGTGATCATTTCTGGGGGGTTTTGTTTTGAGCTGAAATTGCAGTTCTTGATCAGCTGCAGTTAATATGTATGTATATTCAACTATTTGTGCAATATAACTTTAACTGCTCATGACAGCTGAATATGAACGCTTTTATGTTTTACACAGTTGAGGGGGATTTTAGATTGATCAATACTGCCACCTAATGGCCACAGTTGAAAATGTCTGCAGACAGCTGGAGAATTTTTCTCTAAATGCATGAAAAAAAAAATTGCTCTAATTGATGTTAACTTTCCATCTAATTTCAAGTTGAAATGACGGGGTATTCAAGTATACTAAGTCTTATGTCTGAAAGACTGCAGCAGTGCTGCAGTTGGTTTAGTGTCCTACTGAAACATTGGTTACATCAAATTGCTTGTCAATCTTACAGTTTTTTTTACAGCCGCTAGGACACATTTCTCAATACTTAGGTCACTTTTGCAAAACTCTTCACACAATTCTCCTAACTGACCTTCAGCTTGGCAAAGCAGTTCATTTCACATTCAAAATGCACTACAACTACCAAAACACTTTATTCGGGTCTCAAATAAACTCATTCTTCCAGAACACTAGCAAAGGTTGACAGCCGACAAACACACTTTGTCACCCACAAAACAATGACCTAAAAAACACTAACAACATGTAGCATTACACAGTGTTTTCTTGTGTAAAACAAGGACACATCGCTGTTTATAATTTCAATATATGTTACTGGAATGAATCAGACATCATGCAGAATTCGTTAATATTTGTTTATGTATTTTTATTTTTTTGCACTAAGTAATCCCAAAATACAAGAATTTGTATACACACCATCCACTGATACACATACAACAGTAATGCTAATCTACTCGGTCTTCTCCATTTGGCCACAGGTTCTCATCCACATCACATCTTATGTCATCTAGGGCAATACACCTAGGAAAGAATCTTCTGGCATGCCTGATCCAGCCCTGGCAATCTTCTGCTGATATCTCCAGGCATCCAGCATTCATTGCATCCAGGAGGGACATTTGATCATGTGGATGATGGTTGTAAACCTTCCACCGCCATGAGGAAAAGAATTCCTCTATGGGGTTGAGGAATGGAGAGTAAGGTGGGAGGAAAAGAGACTCCATTCTGGGATGGGCTGCAAACCACTCGGTGACTGCACGGGAGTGATGAAATGCCACATTGTCCCATACAATTATAAATGTTGGCTGATTCCTTCTCTCCACATCCCTTTCCTCACCTAGCACAACCCTTCCATAGAGATCATGCAGGGATGCAAGGAGCCGTTCAGTGTTGTATGGCCCAGTTAGTGGTCTGTGTAACAGCAGTCCATCAGTGGATATTGCTGCGCACATTGTGATGTTGGCACCCCTCTGGCCCGGGACATTCACTGTGGCTCTCTTCCCAATCACATTCCTCCCTCGTCGCCGTGCTTTGGCCAAGTTGAAACCTGCCTCATCCACAAAGATGAAAATGTGGTGTGTTTGCCTGCCTTCAATCTCCATGACTCTCTAACATAAATCCACAAGGCAACATAAGCTGTTACAGTAGTAAATTTGTAAAAATTGTCTTTGTGTGTGTTTGGTTTTGTTCAAAAACAGATCTGTATTTTATTGTGATCTTACCTGGACATACTGGTTCCTGAGTTGCTTGACATGTTCAGAGTTCCTCTCAAAAGGCACAGTGTACAACTGTTTCATCTTGACCTGATGTTTTTTCAGGACTCTAGAAATTGTTGTTATGCTTACACTGTGAATATTTGCGAAAGTAACGTTGTCTGCCAAGATTCTGTGTCTAATTTCAGTGAGTTTTATCCCATTGTTTCTGATGACCATATCAACAATGGCAGTTTCCTGCACATCAGTGAAAATCCGTCCTCTCCCTCCTGTGTGAGGTAACCGTTGAGTCCTATGCAGAAATGCAACAACAATTACACAAAAGCTTATTTACTTCTGAAATGTGCAAATGCCCTTGCAGAATACAAGTTACCTGTTGGTTTGCCGGAAAACTCTAACAATAGATGCCACTGTAGAGCGCTGCATATTTGGCTGCACTCTCTGACCAGCCTCTCTCATTGAGTGACCATGATTTACTACATGATCAATTACAGTAGCTCTGATCTCATCTGAGACTACAGCTCTTGATCTTCCTCTTATTCTTCTTCCACCACGCATACGTATTCCTCGCCCCCTCCCGGCCACTCTTCTTCCTCTTTCAGCCACTTCTCCATTTCTGGCTGGGTCCATGTTTACATCACAAAACAAACCTATTCAGCAGTTGTCTCCTGTTGTAATGAAATTGAAGGAGTAACACCTGTGTAGATGTTCATCTACAATGAGAATCAGCTGTGGCTGGTTAAACTGCATTTTTAGATTTAAAATATGTTTCAATAAAATATTGCTGTTGAATTTTGCTGTCTTATTCAGTTTTGCATTATGTTATTGTTTTGACCATAAGTTTAACAGTTTTGAAAAC